CTTAGTGATATCAGTGTTCTGTTTGGGTTTCCCTCTCTGTGCCATCTGAAAATTGCTTCCACCAAGGAGGCCAATATAATTATAGAACTCACTTCACTTGTTTTCCTTCTCTCTAGGATCACAGTCATATACTGGCTATTGTCCTAATAGCTGAAGTTATTAAAATAAATAACTCTGAATAAAATAACTCTAAATAAAATAAAATAAATAACTCAGAATAAAATAATTCTGTCCAGTTTTTTCTAATTGTTTATAATGGGAAAGCAAGTTCTTTAGTGAATATTCCTTAATGGCCCTACAATATCATTTTGTGTCTTTTGAAAAACAGATAATAGAATTGCCAAGTCCAGCTCAGTTGGGGAGACCCTAACCCAGCAGCGCTAGAGGAATTAAAGACACACATACAGAAGTATAGAGATGTGAAGTGGGAAATCAGGGGTCTCACAACCTTCAGAGCTGAGAGCCCCAAACAGAGATTTACCCACATATTTATTAACAGCAAACCAGTCATTAGCATTGTTTCTATAGATATTATATTAACTAAAACTATCCCTTATGGGAAACGAAGGGACAGGCCGAATTAAAAGATTAGTTTGGGCTAGTTAACTGCAGCAGGAACATGTCCTTAAGGCATAAATCGCTCATGCTATTGTTTGTGGCTTAAGAATGCCTTTAAGCAGTTTTCTGCCCCGGGCGGGCCAGGTGTTCCTTGCTCTCATTCCCATAAACCCACAACCTTCCAGTGCAGGCGTTAGGGCCATTATGAACATGTTACAGTGCTGCAGAGATTTTGTTTATGGCCAGTTTATGACCAGATTTTGGGGGGCTTGCTTCCAACATGTCCCCCTTCTCTGATTTGCAATGAGATCAAAGCAAGGGCAGCTTTGTCACGGTGAGCTACTTCTCACAGGAGTCGGGATCCGCATCTGCACACTACACAAAGACAAACAACACAGATTAAAAGCACAGTCATCATTGATATCACAGAGCTTCCAAGTGTTTCTATCCATTTTAATGGGCTACTAGCTGCTAATTTGTCTGCAGCTCCTTTAAGCACTCCAGTTTCTGGCATTAAGGTCAGGTGTGCCTGGGATGCTTTAAATATTTGTTCTTTTAATTTTAAATCCTTATGTTAAGTGCCTAGAGTTGGCCATTATGAACATGTTACAGTGCTACAGAGATTTTGTTTACGGCCAGTTTTGGAGCCAGTTTATGGCCAGATTTTGGGGGGCTTGCTCCAAACATAGAATAATGCTTGGACTGATTTCTAGGTCTCTTGATCTGAAATTTCCACATCACTTTTTTTGTTTTTAAAAAAATGCCTAACCAAAGACTAGAGTTAGCCCAGATTTTGATAAATTCCTAATCAATCTGGTGATGAAGTTATCTCGGAATCTCTTTGGCTACTCCCTTCTCCTCCCATACCCCTTGCTGTGAGACATCTGACTTTCTTAGATAAGGCAATCACATAGAAATGTAGGAAAGAAAAGAAGTTGGCTAACTTCAGAATCTTCATTCTTTCCTTTTCATTACTCCTCCAGCTACTCAAGACCCAAGTGTTTAGTAGTCTGAAATTTCTGTTTTGCAACTGGTGACCTGCAAGAAAGTAACATGTGTGAAAGGTAAAGCTAGTTTTGTGTGTGTGTGTAAAAGGTAAAGCTAGCTTTTTTTTTTTTTTTTTTTGGAGACAGAGTTTTGATCTTTCGCCCAGGTTGGAGTGTAGTGGCGCAATCTTGGCTCACTGCAACCTCCGCCTCCCAGGTTCAAGCGATTCTCCTGCCTCAGCCTCCCGAGTAGCTGGGACTACAGACGCAAGACACCACACCTGGCTAATTTTTGTGTTTTTAGTAGAGATGGGGTTTCACCATGTTAGCCAGGATGATCTCAATCTCCTGACTTCGTGATCCACCTGCCTCGGCCTCCCAAAGTTCTGAGATTACAGACCACCGCTCCCGGCCAGTAAAGCTAGCTTTTAAAGCTCATACTGCTGACCTATAGGAGGAACCTTAAAGGTCATTAAGTGAAGATATAGCACTTGCACCAAAGAAGTCATAAAGGACAAACGTGTGGTGAGGGACAGTCCCTAACCAGCAAAAGGAAAGTCCTCAATTGTTCTGCTAACTTGGAAGACTACTTGCAATCTAAATTGAGGGAGTGTAATTTCTTTCACTCAACATAATGTTTTTTAAATTTCATCCATGTCATTTTGTGTATTCATAGTTCTTTTTTATTCTTTTTCTTTTTAAATGTTACTTATTTTTCATTTATTTTTAAATGAACAAAAGTGTATTATTTTTATTGCTGAGTAGTATTTCATCACTCAACTGTTGACATTAGGATTGTTTCCAGATCCTGGCTGTTATGAATACAGATGTGATAAACATTCATATATAAGTCTTTGAATGGTGACAAAAGTTATTTGCCTGACCAAACTTTAGTCAGGCATCTAAATCTTCTCCTAGATCTGTCTGTGCACTTCCTTGTAAAATCTGCTTTTACCAAAAGAACTCTGCTAAGTCCATTTAGCCAGAACTCCCATTCTTGCTATCTGATTATCCTCATTATCTGATCAGTTTCCTCATCCTCTCCCATCCCCCAGGTGATGTCTGATCACTCTGGCCTATCTTAAGCAAGAATCCTGTTAGGTCAGATGAACCAGGATCCCCCTTACACCTTACTATGGTTTTACTGTGTCCCCCAAAGTTCATGTGTTGGAAACTTTATCCCCAAAGCAAAAGTGTCTGAAGATGGGCCTAATGGGAAGTGTTTAGGTCATGAGGGTTCCACCAATCAATACATTATAACAAATTTTACATCAGAATTAAAGCTAATTATGAAACGGCTTCAGGTTATAAGTTCTCTCTCTCTCTCTCTCTCTCTCTCTCTCTCCCCCTCACTCCCTCCCTCTCACCCTTCTGCCTTCTGCCACAGGATAACACAGCAAGAAGGCCCTCACAAGATGCCAGCACCTTAAGATTGGACTTTCCAGCCTCAAGAACAGTAAAAAATAAACCTTCTTTTATAAATTACCCAGACTGTGGTATTCTGTTAAAGCAACACAAATGAACTAAGACATCCCTGATATTTCTTCTTAATAATGTTCCATCCACTGATCACCACACTTCTCTTTGGTTATAAATTCCCACATGTCTACACTGTTTTCAGAGTTGAGCCCAGTCTCTCTTCCTCACCCTGGAAGGGAGACCCTATTGTAGTGATCCTTAAACCTCTTTTGTTGGTCCTCAATAAAGTCTTCCTTGTTGTGCTTTAATAAACATTACTGAATATTTTTTTCTTTAACAGTGAACATTGTTGCTATTTTCTTCAAGTCTGTGGCTTTTATTTTCATTTTCTTAATACTGTCTTTCTAAGAGCAGAAGATTTTAACTTTGTTGAGATCCAATATATCATTCTTTTCTTATGTGGTACATACTTTTTGAATCATATTTAAAGAATCTGTGCCTAACAAAGATCAGAAAGATTTTTCTTCAAGCTTTCTTAGAGAAGTTTTATAAATTCAGGTTTTACAATTAGTTCTATAATATGTTAATTTTTCTACATAATGCAAGGTAAGGATCAAGGCTCACTCTTTTTTTTTTTTTTTTTTTTTGCATAGGAATATGCCATCATTCCAGCACCATTTATTAGACTTACCCTTTCCCCCAAATAATTACCTCACCACTTTCGTTGAAATCAATTGGCCATATGGGTGGGGGCCTATTTCTGGACTCTCTATCCTGTTTCATTGATATATATATATGGCAAATGCACCTGAAAGCAATAATTTAACTTAAGCATATCTGGAGAATGACCCTACCATCTAAGAAGCATGTGTATTCAAAGTGCTGAGCTAAGGAATCCAGGAGTGGCCAACCTAGAGATTCCCTCCTTATCTATGAAAGACATCTGAACGCCCAGCCCATCCCTTGGAACACAGGCCATATAGGGGGATCAAGGCCCTTTGTTTTGGATTAGATGGAGGTTGCTAGATGGAAGGTGTTAGGTGAAAATGCATGTTTCTTACAAACAGTAGCAGTTCTCCTGTCTAGCCTGCTGCCACTGGACCACCCCTGTATTTAAGTCCCTCCAATAAACCCTATGTCTCATTCACTGCCTCCAGCTCTTTTCTTCAGCCTCCTGGATACGGTGCCATCCCTATTAGAATCAACAGGGCTCCAGCACAATACCTTATGCCAATACAACACTGTCTTAATTACCATACCTTTATAGTAGGTCTTGAAATCCAATAGTTATCTGTATCGGTTAATTCTAGGTCCAACATGGATGAATCTCAAAAACCACGTATGGAAAAAATACGTGGAGGGTAAGAAGCCGGACACAAAAGAGCATTTGCTGTAAGGCTCCATTTATATGAGGTTCAATAACATGCAAATCTGATCTGATAGTAATCAGAGCAGTAGTTATCCACCAATCTCTACCTTTTTTTTTTTTTTTTTTTTGAAACAAAGTCTCACTCTGTTGCCCAGACTGGAGTGCAGCAGCATGATCTGAGCTCACTGCAACCTCCCAGATTCAAGCAATCCTCCCACCTCAGCCTACCGAGTAGCTTGGACTACAGGCATGCACCAACATGCCCAGCTAATTTTTGTATTGTTAGTGGAGACGGGATTTAGCAATGTTGTCTGGGCTGGTCTCGAACTCCTGAGCTCAAGCAATCTGCCTTCCTCAGCCTCCCAAAGAGCTGGGATTACAGGTGTGAGCCACTGTTCAGCCTCTACCAATCTTTATTCATGTAAATATTCAAATGCACCTTCTTTCCATAGGCAAAACACACTAATCCTCTCCTAAAAGGAGGCAACTTCAATGTTTCATAAACAAAGGGGGAAACTGGAAGCAATAATGTGGTCTGCATCATATCAAAGGACTACCCTGGGACCCATAGGGTAATGAGGGAAATGGTTAGAATCGGTAAGCACCCCAACCCATCATCTCCCTAACCCTCAGCCCTGTGTTTTCCATAGAGCCTGATTAAAGTGATCTGGTGCTCAAGGTTTGGAGAAGGAGAGGCAGAAATAGGCAGAAAATGGAGGATGTCGTTTGGGATGTAGTGCCCTGACCCCTCTCTTGCTTCCAGTTTCTCTCACTTCCTCCTTCCCAGATGCAATGACTAGCAAATTCAGCTACAAAACTCCATGCGGAAATGCTGATGGCCATGGAGAGCACAGGCAGCAAAACCCAACTGTCTAAAACCATCCATCCAACTCACAACTGGGTAGGCAGAGACTACCCCTCTCACTCTTTAGTTTAAAAAGAATCATCAACATCTTCCTAAGTTTAATGTGAGGTAAGTTCTCTTCAGTGTCCCCAATAACCAGGCCAGTAGACATGCAGAACACGGGAGACTCTCCGAATATTTATTTAGTTGATTTCTGAAAACTCCACACTCCACAACAGACTCAATACAACTTGCAGTGTCCCTGAAAGTGGCCACTAGGGCACTGAGGAAGGGAGTGCCAAGAATGGGTTGCCCCAAGAGAGCTGGTGTGGCAGAGGATGTCCACTCGCAGATGGATCCACACTGGGCTGCAGGGGATCTTCTCCCAGCCCCAGACAGTGGAGCCAGAGTGGAAGTCCTAGGCCTCACACCTCTGCAGGGACCTGGTAACGCCTCCTTCACTCTCTCTGAGCAATCACCCAGCTGGCTGGTTTCACAGAGTCTCAGGTGGGAGCCCTGACACCAGAACCACATTGAACGCTTGCTTCACCGTTGATGATGTCTCTTTTTTGATAGATGTTCCCCCAGATATTGATGAGTCACCGTGGCCCACCTGGCAGGGTGGCTGGCCCTCTAGCTGCAATCAGTTCACTCCCTCCTTCCCACCAGCCAGAGCACGGCCCTGGTGCAGGCGTGGCTGAGGCAGGTGACCAGAGCACCAGGCAGGGGCACTTTCCAGACCCCAGTCTCCCTGCCATGCTCTATTGTATGGATCTCCAGAGGGTCCGTGGATTCCAACTGGGATTTGCAGAAAGGGTATTGGGAAGGAGTGGGAGGTTGGAAGGGAGGCCTAGTATAAGTCTCAGAAACAAAAGGGGAGTGGGCTGGGGTGATCACAGGGCCACCAGGATGCCCAGGGGCCGCAACAGATGCAGGAGTAAAATGAGGAACACTGCTGGATACGAACAGGTAGCCTGAGCCACCACTGCCATCAGCCACTTACTGTAGACACCAATTTCTGTATAAATTCCAGGCAAGCCGTGGCGACCACAGCCAATGCCCCAGCTCACAATCCCTACCTGTACCCATGTGTTATCATATTCACAGGCCAAGGGACCCCCAGAATCTCCCTGGAGAAAGAGAAAGAAACGAACTTCAGAAATTGAATAGGATCTATATCAGAGCAGACTGACTGTACTACAAGGTGTTGAGGAGACAGGCACACATAGGGCTTCCTCCAGCACCTCAAAGGCCCCACTGCCCAGATTTCTGTGAATATGACAACTGAATATGTGAGCATGGGAACTAAAAAGTTAAGGGGAAAACTTTAATATGCTCTGAGAAAATGATGACTTCTCATTTTCCAAACCACAGTGGCTGTTGAACATCTTGAACATCACCTCAGCATGGCAGCCCCCTAAACCCTTGTATTTAGCCTGAAGTTTCTCTACAACTCCTAACCTACATAGCCAGCTCCACACCCTCCAACTCAAGCAGAATTCTGCTTGTCCTTTCCCAAACCTCCTCTGCTGACCAACCATCTCAGTCAGAAAAATAGGGTCCTCTTGAACCTCTCCCTCACCCCCACTCCTACATGCAGTCAGTCAACAAGAATGGATAGGTCAACCTCAAAAACACCTTCACTTGCCTCCCTGCCCCAGGCACTGCTCAGGACTCAATTGATCACGGCCTAGGTGATGAAAACAAGCATTTAGACTTCTGTCTACGCACCACACAGCTCAGGGAGTCATTTATTGAAAAAGGCAAATCTAATTATGCTCACCAAAGCCCCCTCCCGAGTCCTGCCAGAGCAAAATCTGGAAAACTGGCACTGCACTCCAAGCCATACACACTCTGACTCCAACCCACTTCCCAGCCACATTTGCTGCCTCATTGCTCCAAATGTGTGAAGTGTCCCTTAACATGAGAAGTACCCTCAGCCCTCTGAGCCACTGCACATGCTATTCCCTCTCCTTACAATGCTGTTTTCCTCTTTCCAAGAAATCCAAATACTCATTCTCTAAGACCCAGCTCAAATGGCCCCTCCTCAGGAAGGCAGCTTGGTGCCGAGGGAAGAGTGTGGGTCTGGGAGTTGGTGCTCACAGGAGGATCCTGAAGTAACGTCCTTGGATCTCGCCTTCCACATTCATGCAAGGGGTGTGATGTTTATGTTGCAGGGTTGTGGTGTGGGTTAACTGAGATAATGAGGGTTAATGTCCACACTGGCACGGTGAGCATCACATAGGAGGACCTCAATTAGTACGGCATATGTTATTAGCATTTCCCACCCCAACTTTCCCACACACCAGCAGTGCCCCCAGGCAGTGCTCCTCCCTTTTGAAAGAACAGACCAGGCCAAGTTAGGGCAGCCATGGCAGGTTTCCCTTTATGAATCTCTTTAACTCAACTAGGCGTGAATAGAGGAAGCAGCAAATAACCCAGGCTCTGCCATCTGGGAATGGGGAAAGGATCCATGAACTTACCTGGCAAGAATCCTTTCCTTGTTCTTTATAGCCACAGACCATCCCTTTTTTATTATATCCGTAGTAGATGACAAGGCCTTTTTTATTATCTTGTTACATTCCTCATAGCGCATGATGTATTGGTCCACCTCCTGGAGAATTTCTGATGTAACTTTCTCTCCTATCAAAGAAGATCATCAGATCTGCACAAGTGGACAATAGGCCCCTAAGCACCCAGCATCCCTCTGGAAAAAGACAAGGCAGTGAGTATTCTCCTCATGTGACACAGAAGGCCCAAAGTTGATATGAGGAGAGGAGGATGTAAGAAACAAAACCAAGACAGGAACGGGAAGAATATTTCAGGAGAGGGAGAGGCAAGGCCTTGCCAACCTGAGAAATGACAACCAAGTATCGTCACTCTAAGTATCAGTAGTAATAGTGAGAGTGTGTCCTGTGCATCAGTAAAGCATCTTTACTGTCTAGAGCAGGATCACAGATTCTCAGGCAGAAAATGCCCCAGAAGTACCAAATCCAGCTTCTCGCCAGGGATAGGAGGGCCTACACCCCACCAACAGGAGTCTTCTGGTTCTCTCTACATCTCCAGGAACAGAAAATACCCTATCCACCAAGGCAGGTGCTTCCAATGAGGAGCAGCTCTGACTGGCAGACAACTCATTGCCCTCTGAAGTGTTCCTGGGGAGAACTTTATAGCATCTGGCTCTGTCCAGGGAACCTAAAAATCCCCCCAAACCAGTCAAGCACAGTGCCCCCACAAATCCACAGAAGGAGATGTTGCCCATGTGCTTCTTCTTCTCCTGGCTCAGCAACTCCAGTTCCCAGGACAAAAGTCTTCCTAAATGACTGCCATCAACATTTCATTTGTGTTGCAACAAAAGAACTCAACCCAGTTTCTGGTGTCACCCAAGACAACCAGGAACCATGACCCTGACAGCTGCTAAACTGCGTGTCCCTCACAACCTGCCACCCACCAGGCAGTCTGCCTTCCTGCTCCTCTCTGTAGCCTTCCTGTCTACTCCAGGGGTAAGGGTGCCTCCTCTCTGCCCCAAGTTTGCTTCCTGCCTTGAAGTCTCACCGCCTTCTTGTGTTTTGCCCCATCCGGTCACCCAGCACCTGGTCCTAGCTTCCACCTGGAAATTCTCCTGAGGGATGCAGATAGGCTGGATGTTTGAGGTAAAATTCACAGGATGATGGAGCCGGAGAAGGGCAAGGTCATTTTGAACGGCTATAACTGTTGAGAACTTAGGGTGGACAAAAGCTCTTCTGACAGGGACCACCACACTTGTGTTTTCCTTATAGACACTCCGATCTCCCATCTTGACACTGTAACGGAGGTGGCTGTGGGAGAGAGGACATGCCTCTAAGAAAAGGCCTGGGAAACATCCTTTGTGCCTTTCCCATACATTTCCAACGTTTCTCAAACTGGCCTCAATCTTCCGGGCCACTACCCCTACCACCCCATCTCCATCACCAAAAACCCTTCCTTGATCACTCTCAAACTTGGTTTGCCTGCCCAACTTAGACATGCCTATAGCAAGACGACCAATGCAGAGACCCCCTCCGGCTTCACTGTGAGTTTTGTTTCGTTGTTGCCAAATTGCCAGGGCAGTGGAACTCAGTGGGTGCTTGAGGGGGCCAGCCTGGCCCCAGAAGGCCCCCCAGCCCTGCGTGTCGCTCCTCACCTGGAAATGCAGTGGCCTGCCGTCAGCACCCACGTGGTGGTGACCAGGGTGCCGCCGCAGATGTGCCTGCCTTTGGCCCTCACGCTCACCTGCCAGGGCCACCTCCCTTCCTCCGCGTCCACTCCTCCCACGATTCTCAGAGGGGTTCGGCCACACACTGGGGTGAGGATAGTGTAGGATGAAGAACTCACTCAAAGACACAGGACTTGAGTCCCCGGGGTGCCCCGACGACAGCCAAGAAGGAGCCGTGTCCCCCAGGGCTCCCGAGCCACACTTCAGATTCCCCGGGCTACCAGGGAGCACCTGCCCCAGCCTGGCGCCCAACGTCCGCCTGCGGGCCTCCCACGCAGTGAGTCACCTGGGAAGGACGTAAACAGATTGGGTGGGGGGCCCGCCGCAGGTCCTGAGGCCGGGCTCGCTTTGGGGTTCTCGCGGCCCTCCTCTGAGAGGAGAGCGGAAGGAAGGTGTGGCGCTGCCCTGCCCTGCCCGCCCAGTTCTGCCAGGGCCAGGGCTGAAGGAGCAGAAGCCAGGCCAGGAAGCCCAGGGAGCCGCCGCCAGAGGACATGTCATGGATACCGGCTGCCCCTCTCCCGACAGCTCGCGCCCCTGCGGGGGGTTGGCTGGAACCAGGGCTCCTGTGAGACACGAGGGGGCGGGGCCGGGCCTCGAGGGGTGGAAATTGCGGAGCGGACTTGCCGGACCCTGGTCTTGCCAGATTCCTTGTCTGAGTGGGAAATGTCGCCCTCGCGGTGCGGTTTCACTCAGATCCTCACTCCAGACTATGTCCAGCCAGAACCCTGCCCAGGACCAAGGCGTTAGGGTAATTCTGAGAAAACTGCCCTTGATGGAGACCTCCTGCTTTAGGGTCTGCACTTAGGAGGCAGGTGCGATGCTGCTCTTGCCCTTGCAGCCGTGGTACCTGGCCTGAAGCTGGTCGGGATAGGTCTTCTGAGAATTCATCGAGGAGCTCTCATTCTCCATAGCGTCCTCAAATCAGGGCTTCATTCACCAGACCTAGATATTAGGGTAGGAGGACTTTACAGATGAAGCAAGCTAGACAGAGGACTGGGCTGCTCTTCTGTTTCAGTCGCAGGGACATCTTTTAAACAGCCCGCAGGTCAATCCACTCTGATTAGCTCTGTGTCCCTAATGTCTATTATGTCTGTTCTGGTAGCTCATCCTTTTGTCTGCTACCTACTACCAAGCCTCTGCCTCTCCTGGCTTCATCTTTGTTGAAGTTGGAGGAAAAACAACAATAACAGCTTTTGAATTGCTGTATGTTCCACTTTTTCCTGTCCAAGAGTGGACAACCATGACAGTGTTTTCCAAGGATGCCAGTGCTCTCCTCACCAATTTATTGTTCTACGTCTTGGTGAAGGGGGTATTCTCTAAGGCCCTCTCGGAGTTCAGGGGAGTGGGCGAGCAGGTCATACATCATGAATCCATCCCAATATTCCCCTCTCTCTAACTCTCTCTCTACATTGAACAAGTGTAGGGACCAGCCCTACAGGGCCTGTGGGTTTTTCTCCTCATGTGTGGAGACAAGAGATCGTAGATATAACGACATAAGACAGAGACAGAAAGAAAAATAACTAGGCCCCAGGGGACCACTACCACCAAGACCTGTAGTGGCCTGGACTCGCTGCTATTTATTGTATTCTAGGCAAGGGGGCAGGGTAAGGAGTATGAGTCGTCTCAAATGATTGATAAGGTCACACAAGTCATGTGTCCACCGGACAGGGGGCCTTTCCCTTTGTGGTAGCCAAGGCAGAGAGGAAAGGCAGCATACATCAGCATTTCTTCTATGCACTTATCAGAAAGATCAAAGACTTTAATACTTTCACTAATTTTGCTACTGCTATCTTCTAAGAACTTAAAAGGAGGAGCCAGGTGTACAGGCGGAACATGAAAGTGGACAAGGAGCATGACCATAGAAGCGCAGCACCAAGGGAGATGTTTACACCTCCAGATGACTATGGCCAGGCCTGGCCAGTGCCAGGCCTCCCACAAGAGCTGGTAGAGCAGAGTGTTCTCTAACTCCTCCAGGAAAAGGGAGACTCCCTTTCCTGGTCTGCTAAGTAACGGGTGCCTTCCCAGGCACTGGCGCTACCGCTAGACCAAGGAGCTCTCAAGCAGCCCTTATCCGGGCATGACAGAGAGCTCACACTCTTGTCTTCTAGTCATCTCTCACAGTGTCCCTTCAGCTCCTAATTCTGTATGTATAATTATAAAACAGAGATTATTATAATAATAGAACAAAAAGTAATACTACAAACTAATGATTAATAATAATTATATCTATATCCTATTTCCAGTATAACTTTTCTTAATTTAATTATTTTCTTTATTATACTGGAATAGCTTGTGCCTTCAGTCTCTTGCCTCGGCACCTGGGTGGCTTGCCGCCCACAAACAAGGAATTTCTGACATATCACACTTGGTAGCCAAGTGTGGGCCACCACTGAGTTCAGGTTTAAAACAACAAAGTAGCAGCCAGGCACAGTGGCTCACACCTGTAATCCCAGCACTTTGAGAGGCCAACGCAGGAGGACTGCCTGAGCCCATGAGTCACGAACCCATATCCGGCCTGGGCAACATGGAGAAACCCTGTCCCTACAAAACATAAAAAGATTAGTTGGACATGGTAGCCTGTGCCTGTTGTCCTAGCTACTCAGGAGGCTAAGGTGGGAGGATCCCTTCAGTCCAGGGGTTCCGGGCTGCAGTGAGCCATGATCGCACCACTACACTGCAGCCTGGATGACAGAGCAGGACTCTGTCTCAAAAATAAAAATAAACAAGTAAACATGTAAAGCAAGGGTGTCCAATCTTCTGACTTTCCTGGGCCACACTGGAAGAAGAATTGTCTTGGACCACACACAAAATATGTTAACACTTATGATAGCTGATGAGCTTTAAAAAAATCACAAAAAAAATAATGTTTTAAGAAAGTTTATAAGTTTTTCTTGGGCCACATTTAAAGCTGTCCTGGGCTGTATGTGGCCCATGGGCCGCAGGTTGGACTAGCTTGATGTAGAGTCACTTTCACCTGCCTGTTTGGTATCTACAAACAGACACCAGCAAACTGAATTCAGAATTTCTGGTAAATGTACTCCTGGTAAATTTGGGCCCAAGCCTCTCTAATCAAGAGTCTGCAGAATCCAATCCTATACATATCTCCCAAGTTCTTTCCCATGAAAGTTAGCAAAATCTTGCAGTTCTTTTTGTAAGGAAGCCTTCTCCCCCTGGGTTATACTTTGTATCTGTCCTTCCAGAGCATGCTGGGATCTGACTGTACTTATTAGGTCTAGAGGCAGTAAAGATTTGCTGAAGTGGTATGAGTCTAGAGGCAGTAGATCTTTAGACCTACTAGAGGTAGGTATGGAACGGCATGCCCTTATCCTATAACTTCCTCAGTTGAAGTCAATACAGTAGCTCTAGGGTAGAGAGGACCACCCTTTTCAAAACAGAGGTTGCACTGCTTCTGTTAGCAAGGGAAGTTCAATGTGGCCGGGAGTCAGATGTCCTAAATCTATCCAAATGTGCCTCATTTAAATTTTCATGGTCTCACTCTTTCCCAATCAATGCCCTGACTTTTATGTAAGAATTATAATGAAGCTGTTAATTCCATTTATGTTGAAATTCAGCAACCCAAAAGATGAGATACTACATTTCATTTTCAACTACATCAATCCTGTAGTGACAAGGAATATGAAGTTATTTCAGGAAATCATAGAAGCTTTTAATCCAAGAAACTAAAATTCAAGATTGCCATTTGCCTTCTTTAAAATTTTCGTGTAGTAATAAGTAACCAGTCTTCCCCACAGTCCTTATATCTTTCATTTCCACAGTAACATCTATTGTGGCAGCCTGTTATCTTTTAATGAACTGTGAAAAGCAGACTGTGGCCTAGAGTGAGACTTTAGAATCTGTGAGAGCTGCAAACACAAAGCAAATTTGCATCTACTGATAGGCACTTCTCCACAAACTTCCACCAGGTCTTCAAGAGAAAGATTAGAGGAAGGACAAGAGACCAAAGAAAGCCTTGCCCACGGTGCAGTCTTTGGGGAGGTGAGCAGAAGCCACTGTGGGAAAGGCATGACATCTGGCCTGGATCCTCTACTCTGTTTCCCAGCAACCCTACCACCACCACTAACACTACCACTACCACAAACACACACACACGCACACACAAATACACCAACCCTTTGCCACCAGGGGGTCAGAGGGGGCATAAAAATGTCACTTCCAGGGCACAGGTAAAAGCCTATTATAGCTGCGTGAACATAACATTAAATATCCTCTATTTCTCCGGGAGAAGTAGGAAACTGTGCTGCTCCAAACCTTTAAAGATTATCTATTCTGGGAGAGGGGCAAGGTCACTTAGAAGACCCCATGACTAAGAGCCAAGAACATAGCACTTGCCTAAGAGTGAGGCTGAGCCAGAACAATAAAGAAAGCCCCCATTACCAGGATAGCAAGTGTCCAGGAACAAGTAACAGCTGTCTGCTGCTGGAAGAGTGAGGGTAAAAGCACAGAAAGATATCCTCTCTTAGACATAGGCACAAAGAGAAGACCAATGACTGTGATTTGAACAGACACTGAGAAAAACTCTCCAACAAACCAGCCACCACTCTAAGCAAAAAAGTAATACTGGAAGAATTTGAATTATGTACTTTTTGAGAGTAACCATACTAACAACAAAACCTGACACATTGTCTCAATGCCTCCTCCTTAAAGAAAAGGCATGTCCATTTCTGGACATAAATAGTGTTTACCCAAGTCTCCACTAGCCTTCACAGGAAGGCTTCAGCTTTCAACCAAAAATTACAAGACACATAATGAAACAAAAAATGACACATTATCAAGAGACAAACCAATCAACAAAACCAGACTCAGCTGTGACATAGATTTTGGAACTATTACACCAGGGGTTAAAAACACTATGATGGATGTATCTGTAGACTCTAGTGCACAGGTCAACAAAAGTTTTCTGCAAAGGACCAGATAGCAAATATTTTAGGATTTGCAGACCATAAGGCAAAACTGAGGATATTATGTAGGTTTTTATATAGCAACAAGACAATTTTCCCACAAAATTATAGTCATAATACTAATTGCATATAATATTTGCTAATTCAGATCTACTAATGAGAGGTATAACATTGTTTTAAGGGGAGTATAACATTTTACTTATTGGGGTTCAAGTTAATGTTCTCTATTGTCAAAATCAATTGCACATTTTCTGTTAATGGTGAGCCATAATGATATTTTACACACTTCATCTTTTCTTTTTTTTATTTTTTATTTTTACTGTTTTGAGACAGGGTCTCTGTCTCTTGCCCAGGCTGGAGTGCAGTGGTGCAATCTTAGCTCACTGCAACCTCTGCTACTATGACTGAACATGTGAAGAAATAGTAAATTCTCTAAACTGTGAAGCAGTCTCCCAGTCACACACACACACATCCAGTGGCAAATAGTGGAAGTAAAACTGACTAAAGGAGCTTACCTACAACCACCAACAAATGAGTGATGCATGAAAACTGGAATGCAAGATTTAATATTATTACGGTGACAATATTATCCAAAGTAGCTCAATGCAATCCCTATCAAAACCCCAATGATTTTTTTTGGCAGATATAGAAAAACCATTCTAAAATTCATCCGGCTTCCCAAGCAGCCCGAATAGCTAAAAC